AGAATTTAGAATAAAATGACTACTTCTTCAGACCTGCTTATTGGCATCTTGAAATTCCAGAGATAATACAGAGATTTACCAATGGCTTTGAACAAAGGAAAGGAAGTAGGAACAAAATATTTGAGTATACATTTCTCAAAAAAATACACAAATATCCAAAAAGTACATGATATGATATTCAATATCATTAGCCATTAGAAAAATGCAAATTTAAACAACACTGTGATGTCATTTCACACCCACTAGAATAATTAAAAAAAAAAAAGAGTCAAACTCAATGGCATAAACCTATAATCCCAGTGACTTGGGAGGCTGAGGCAAAAAAGATCACAAATTCAAGGTCAGCTTCAGCAATTCAGCAAGACCCTGCCTCAAAATAAAAACTAAAATAAAAAAAATATTGGAGGTGTAGCACAGTAAAAAATTAACCCTGGGTTCCAAGTACACACACACACACACACATACACAGAGAGAGAGAGAGAGAGAGAGAGAGAGAGAGAGAGAGAGAAACATGTTGGCAAGAAAATGAAGAAATCAAAACCCCCAAACATTGCTGGTAGAAATGTAGAATGATTCTGTTGCTATGGAAATTGGTGGTTCCTCAAGAAGTTTGGGGGTTCCTCATGATCAAGCAATTCTCCTCCTAAGTATATACCAAATGATGTAAAAACAGGAATTCAAACAAGTATGTGTACAAGCATGTTCACAGCAGCAATATTCACAATAGCCAAAAGGAACAAGGAATCCTAATGTCTACCAACAGACACATGGACACATAAATTATGATATATATACATACAACTGAAATGTTACACTATTAAAATCATATGCCAAGTACAAAAAAGTCAGACACAAAAGGTCACATATTATGATTCCATTTCATTTTTGTGACATACACAAAAATAATGAAATCCATAGAAATGGAAGCCAGATATGGCTACCAGGAGCTGAAGGGAGGAGGGAGTGGGGAATAACTGTTTAATGGACATGGAGTTTCCTTTTGTTATGCTAAAAATGTTTTGGAACTAGAGAGCACTGGTGCTTGCATAACACTATAAATGTAAAAATGCCACTGAATTATATTTTTTAAATGGTTAATTTTATGTAATACAAACTTCAATCTTTAACTTTTTTTTATTAGTTGCTCAAGACAATACAATGATCTTGATATATCATACATTTGATTCAAATAGGGTATGAATTCTCATTTTTCCACGTGTACAGATTGCAGGATCACATTGGTTATACATCCATGTGTATACATACAGAAATCCTAGTGTCAGTTGTATTCTGCTGCCCTCCCTATCCCCCCCTCCCTTCCCCTCCCCTCCCATCACTATTCTCTACCCATTCTACTGTGACAGTTATCTATTCTCTTTCTTTTTTATTCTTCCCTTCCCCCTCACACCATCATATATGTATTTTGTGAACCCATGAGGGTCTCCTTCCATCTTCCATGCAATTCCCCTTCTCCCTCCCTTTCCCTCCCTCCTCTTTTCTTTGTTTCATGGTAATCTTCTTCTCATGCTCTTCCTTCCTACTCTGTTTTGAGTCACCTCCCTTATATCAGAGAAGACATTCGGCATTTGTTTTTTAGGGATTGGCTAACTTCGCTTAGCGTAATTTGCTCTAGTGCCATCCATTTCCCTGCAAATGCCATGATTTTGTTATTTTTTAATGCTGAGTAATATTCCATTGTGTGTAAATGTTCACTCTTTAACTTTAAAGTGAGGCATGGTGGTACACACCTGTAGTTCCAACTTATTCCAGAAGCTGGAAACTGGGCAATAAAATGAGACCCCTATATCAAAAAAGAGAAAATTCAGCAAAATTATTCATAGTGAAAAATCGAGTTTTACATATTCATTTATAATTCTGAACAAAAAAATAATAATAATGAAATCCTAGATTCTTACTCTAACATCAGCTTGCTACAGGGGATATCTTTTGGTTGCCTCCCAAGCATCCAGGCAACCTTTCCCCTGTTACACTAATTAAATTATAAATTTCCCAGTCATGCACTTTGATGGATTGATCCTACTACCAAATCAAGAAGTGGGCAATAACTAGCCTAAGCCATTTTCAGAGATAAGCAAGCAATCTACCGTGCACCATACACAGAGATATTTGCTGAATCCATGTGAAAATAAATAAATAAAACTTCCTTTTATCTTCTTTAAGTCTACAAGAGAAAACATCTATTCTGTTTTTCTGAAAGCATCTCCTGTACAACAAACCTACAAAGATTGCACTAGGGGGAAGGGGGGCATATATAGAAAGAAAAGAATCAATGGCAACATTACAGAGCTACTAGACCAAGCCATACCTGAAGATCACCTTATCTATGGCTATATTTTTCAGTAGTAAGTCAACAGATTTAACCCATCCCTTTTTCATATTTTACTTAGAGACAGGGTCTCTCTGAGTTGCTTAGGGTCTCACTAAGTTGCTGAGGCTTGCTTTGAACTCTCAATCCTCCTGCCTCAGCCTCCCCAGCCACTGGAATTGTAGGTGTGTGCCTCCGCACAGCTAACAGATTCTTTAAGATGGTTTGACTTGGAGCCATGGGTATAGCAAGTACCAGCATGTGCAAGGTCCTAGATTCTATCAACAACAACAACCAAAAAAAAAAAAAAAATGTTAAATGTTTTTTCTCTGATTGTTTATTTTGGGGGGGAACGGGGGGTTGAACTCAGGAGCACTCTACCACTGAGCCACATTCCCAGTCCTTTTTGTATTTTAATTAGAGACAGGGTCTCACTGAGTTGCTTAGTGCCTCACTGTTGCTGAAGCTGGCTCTGAACTTTAGATCCTCCTGGCTCAGTCTCTGAGCCACTGGAATTACAAGAGTGCGCCCTGCTGATGTTTAATGTTTTTAAAGATAGTTTGAGCTGAGTTTTCTATTATTTGCAAACAAAAGAATCCAAAAAAATATACCATCTATATGACCTTAAAAAAAAAAAAAACCTGCATTGCAATCATAATCCCTGAATTCACTCTTGAAAAAAAAGCATTATGAAAAGCTACCTAGATGTACTAAAATCATGCTATTAAAGATTTTATTCTATAATGCATTTAAGTGATAGATTCAGCATTTTCCATATAAAAGTCTTCTTTTATTATTATCATTTTTTTAACGTACCAGACTATGAACCAGGTGTGTGTTACCGCTTAGCTATATCTCCAGCCCTTATTTTGAGACAGGCATCTGGCTAAATTACCCAAACTGGCCTTGAACCTGCAATCCTTCTGCCCCAGCCTGCCAAGTGACTGAGATAATGGCATGTATAACCATCCCTGGCTAAAGGTTAGTCTTTTTACTAAAGAAAAATTTTTTGTTCTACACTAAATTTCTTTGAAATAATAATTCTTAATCAGTGATCACTTAAGTTGGTTTTCTTATTAAAGATGTAAGGACATGTATAGATACAATTAGACTACTGGTAATCAGAAAACCTAGATTTCTACCCCATTTCTGTCCCTCACCATATAGAGTATGTTGAGGAAGTCAAATTATAACTTATAAAATATCTAATGTTTCTCTGAAATTTAATAATTCTAGATAGTATAGATAATGTATATACACACATATAACCTACAATGTGCTCCCTTTTTTTATTTCAACTCTAGGAATTCAGTATTTTTTTTAATTCTAATATTACATAAGGATCTACAATTGCTGATTTTATTTAAAATATGCAAATTAAATGCCTTCCCTTCAGAAAAGTTGAATTTCCCATTGGATATTTAAAACATTCTACTTATACACAATTATTTTGTTATGCTATCACTGCTTAAAGGCTATAATCACCAAATCATCTATAATTTATTTTTCCTTACTGCAAATAATACCAGGTCCAAAGGTCAAATGACTAAAGTTAATCTGCAAATAATCTATTCTCTTTGGAAGTTAAATATGCTAACAAATAAACCAGAAAATTTAGTCAAACTTGATTTATTCCTTTGAAGGTATGAAATTTGTTTTGATAATGATCACTCTCATTATTTAAACAAAGGCTTTCCTAAAGAAAATCATAGGCTAAAAGTACTAAATAGGTTTTTACTTCTTTCGTCTTAGCATGCAGTCTGATGGATTTCCATAAATTATACATGAATCATTATTAAATAAAACTAGTAGTTTACTATCACCCCATCTTCTATTAATTTATTTAATGATATATAAAAATATTAAAAATCATGCTTATTAATGGAGTACCATGTTTTGAAACATGTTTACATTGTGCAATAAAGTGTATCCTACCTATCTCCTCACTTATCATTTACTTATGCAGAAAATACCCAAAATCCTTTTTTCTAGTTTTTTGAGATACACAGTATACAATTTGTATCTAGTCACCCTACTATACAATATCACAACAGAACTCCTTACTCCTATCAAACTGCAAATTAGTACTCATAGATCAACTTTCCTCACCCCCTGCCCCACATTCCCCAGTCTCTATTCTACACTCAACTTCTATGAGACCAACTTTTTACACTACAAACATGAATGAGATAATGGAGTACTTGTCCTTTTGTGTCTGACTTACTTCATCACACCTTTTTTTTTATATATATATATAATCTGAAGTAACTACACTTGGCATTACTACTTTGGATGATAACAGGCATTAAGTCTATAAACAAAGGTATAAAAATCTACTCCCTTATTGTCCACAACATATACCACTGTCACATGAGGTAATACACCAGATATGGTAATTTTGTGAAATGTTTTTTGGATGAAACATTTCATTATAAAAGTTTACAAAATAGTCTGATTTTAAAAGTTAACATTTTACTTTAAAATGTTCTTAAACATAAAAACTTTAAATAAATAAAACACTGTTTCAGAGGAGCTCAACAAATTACATACATTGATTTTTTCTGAATGGGAATAAATACATTTTCTTTCAATATAACTAATGTTTATCAGTTTAGTTTTTCATATCACCTATAATTACAAACTATTATATATGAAAAAGACTTCTCTTCAATACTTTAATTCTGTCAAGAATAGCATAACAGAGACCGGAGGAGGAAGCCGCCGGGCGCCAGCCAAGCCAGACCGAAGGAGGAAGCCGCCGGGCGCCAGCCAAGCCAGACCGGAGGAGGAAGCCGCCAGGCGCCAAGCCAGACTGGAGGAGGAAGCCCGGCCCCGCCCCGTGTGCTAGTCCGGAGGAAGCCCAAGAAACCTTAAAACCCATCAAAGGGAGTGTGGCTACCAGCACGGTTCGGCGTTCGGCGGCTGATCCAGGTACCCGGTTTCCAACTCCCCCATCCTTAGCTGCGATAACTCAAAATATTTCCCACAAGCTTTTGGGGGTTGTAGCTATCAACGCAAAACAACAACTGTACAGGCACCTGGTTTCTACCTCAGAGACTAGAGAGTAGGGAAGATACAGGTGAAAGCTCATTTCCTTTCACACTGGCTATACCCACCACCCTGAATACAGAGGCTCAAGCTAGGAATAGACAACGCCACCTACTGGAAGCAAGGAAAACAGTGTTCTGAGACACTTTTCTTTTTCTCTTTCTTTCTCTCCTCTCTTTTCCACAACTTCAACATACGTGGAACCAAGAACTGTGCATGAACAACCAAATTACCAAAGTAATATAATATAGAGGAATTGCATATACCCCACCTTCCCCCCATTTTTTTTCTTTATTTCTATCTCACTTTCCTTTTCCTTCTCTCCTATTTCTCTTTTCTTCCTTGTTATTTTTTTTCTTTTTTTAAATTCGTATTCTCTCTATCCCACTTTCAATCTCCTAACTTTTGCTATCTATACATAGGGTAACTATCTAAATACAGATAGGAGGTTGAGACTATACATTCTTCCATAAATTACCAGTCTATTGGTTAGAGTTCTACAAAGGTGCCAAGTTAGTTTAACCTCATACCCTCAGTCCTTTCCCTCTAAGTATAACATCCTTCATCTGAAATTAAGTTTTCTATATGCCACCAGATATGGTATGCCTTTTATGAAACTAATGAATATATTCTTAAGTAATAATTAAAACCAATATCTATAGACTTAGACTCTAACTATAAATGTATTAATAATGAAAACTTGTGCTTAGATAATGTACTGTTGATATTGGGAACTGTTAACATTGTCTTTCTCTGCAAAAGAGGGATTTTGGAGCTATACAAGAACAATACAAATATATAAGGGGAAAACATTAACACAACAGTTTCACAAAGCTAGAAAGAATCATGAGCAGTATGAAAAGACAAGGAAAGAAAGGACCACAAACAATACAGGTCAATTCAACATTAGATGAGGTAATATCTGCAGCTGATGGAATGTCAGACAAAGAATTCAGGATATACATGCTTCAGATGATCTGGAGTCTCAAGGAAGACATTATACAGCAAATTCAGACAATGAAAGATCACTTTGACAATGAATTACATAAACAAATCCAAGAAGCAAAAGATCAACTCTATAGGGAAATAGAGGATATAAAAAACAAACAAACAGAAATCCTGGAAATGCAGGAAACAATAAACCAAATTAAAAACTCAAATGAGAGTATTACCAGCAAAGTAGAACACTTAGAAAATAGAACTTCAGACAACAAAGACAAAGTTTTTCAACTTGAAAAGAACATAGACAGCTCAGCAAGAATGTTAAGAAATCATGAGCAGAACATCCAAGAATTATGGGATAACATAAAGAAACCAAACCTAAGAGTTATTGGGAAACAAGAGGGTATAGAGGTCCAAACCAAGGGAATGAATAATCTATTCAATGAAATAATACTAGAAAACTTCCCAGACTTAAAGAATGAAAAAGAAATCCAAATCCTAGAAGCCTACAGGACGCCGAATGTGCAAAATCATAAGAGATCCACACCTAGACACATTATAATGAAGATGCCCAACATACAGAATAAGGAGAGAATCTTAAAAGCCACAAGAGAGAGGAAGCAGATTACATTTAGGGGTAAACCAATCAGGATAACTGCTGATCTTTCAACACAGATTCTGAAAGCTAGAAGATCCTGGAACAACATATTTCAAACGCTGAAAGAAAAAGGGTTCCAACCAAGAATCATGCATCCAGCGAAATTAAGCTTCAAGATTGAAGATGAAATAAAAATCTTCCACAATAAACAAAAGCTAAAAAGAATTTGCAGCTAGAAAACCAGCTCTTCAAAACAACCTTGGCAAAACATTACAGGAAGAGGAAATGAAAAATTACAATGAAAACCAACAACGGGAGGTAGTACAGTAAAGGAAAAACTAATCATAAAGGAAAAACAAATCATGGTAAGTAACATACATAATCAAAGATGGCTGGAAATACAAACCATATCTCAATAGTAACCCTAAATGTTAATGGCTTAAATGCACCAATCAAAACACATAGGCTAGTAGAATGGACTAAAAAAAAAAGATCCAACAATATGCTGCCTACAGGAGACTCATCTGATAGGAAAAGACATACACAGACTGAAGGTGAAAGGTTGGGAAAAATCATATCACTCATATGGACCCCGGAAGCAAGCAGGGGTGTCCATACTTGTATCAAATAAAATAGACTTCAAGCCAAAGTTAATCAAAAGGGATAAACAAGGACACTACATACTGCTCAAGGGAACCATACCCCAACAAGACTTGATGATCATTAATATATATGCCCAAAAAAATGGTGCAGCTACGTTCATCAAAAAACCCTTCTCAAGTTCAAGAGTCAAACAGACCACAACACAATAATCATGGGAGATTTTAACACACCTCTCTCACCACTGGACAGATCTTCCAAACAAAAATTGAATAAAGAAACCATAGAGCTCAATAATACAATTAATAATTTAGACTTAATTGATATATACAGAATATACCACCCAACATCAAGCGGATACACTTTCTTCTCAGCAGCACATGGATCCTTCTCAAAAGTAGACCATATATTATGTCACAGGGCAAATCTTAGCAAAGGAGTAGAGATACTACCATGCATTTTATCTGATCATAATGAAATGAAATTGGAAATCAAAAATAAAATGAGAAAGGAAAAAGCTTACATCACATGGAGACTAAACAATATGCTACTGAATGAACAAAGGGTTACAAAAGACATCAAAGAGGAAATTAAAAAATTCTTAGAGGTAAATGAAAACTCAGACACAACATATCGAAATCTCTGGGACACTATGAAAGCAGTACTAAGAGGAAAATTCATTTCATGGAGTTCATTCCTTAAAAGAAGGAAAAGCCAACAAATAAATGACCTCACACTACACCTTGAAGCCTTAGAAAAAGAAGAACAAATCAGCAGCAAATACAGTAGAAGGCAAGAAATAATTAAAATTAGAGCTGAAATCAATGAAATTGAAACAAAAGAAACAATCGAAAAAATTGACAAAACTAAATGTTGGTTCTTTGAAAAAATAAATAAGATTGATAGACCACTAGCCACGCTAACAAAGAGAAGAAAAGAGAGAACCCAAATTACTAGCTTACGGGATGAAAAAGGCAACATCACAACAGACAATTCAGAAATACAGAAGATAATTAGAAATTATTTTGAAACCCTATACTCTAATAAAATAGAAAATAGTGAAGGCATCGACAAATTCCTTAAGACATATGAACTACCCAGATTGAGTCAGGATGATATAAACAACCTAAACAGACCAATATCAAGTAAGGAAATAGAAGAAGCCATCAAAAGAATACCAAGGAAGAAAAGCCCAGGACCGGATGGATATACAGCAGAGTTTTACAAGAACTTTAAAGAAGAACTAATACCAATACTCTACAATCTATTTCAGGGGATAGAAAAAGAGGGAGAACTTCCAAATTCATTCTATGAGGCCAATATCACTCTGATTCCCAAACCAGATAAAGACACCTCAAAGAAAGAAAACTACAGACCAATATCCCTAATGAATTTAGATGCAAAAATCCTCAATAAAATTCTGGCAAATCGGATACAAAAACATATCAAAAAGATCGTGCACCATGATCAAGTAGGATTCATCCCTGGGAAGCAAGGCTGGTTCAATATCCGGAAATCAATAAACGTTATTCACCACATCAATAGACTTAAAGATAAGAACCATATGATCATCTCGATAGATGCAGAAAAAGCAGTCAACAAAGTACAGCATCCCTTTATGTTCAAAACACTAGAAAAACTAGGGATAACAGGAACTTACCTCAACATTGTAAAAGCCATATATGCTAAGCCTCAGGCTAGGATCATTCTAAATGGAGAAAAACTGAAGGCATTCCCTCTAAAATCTGGAACAAGACAGGGATGCCCTCTATCACCACTTCTATTCAATATAGTTCTCGAAATACTGGCCAGAGCAATTAGACAGACAAAAGAAATTAAAGGCATTAAGATAGGAAAAGAAGAACTTAAATTATCACTATTTGCAGTGACATGATTCTATACCTAGCAGACCCAAAAGGGTCTACAAAGAAACTACTAGAGCTAATAAATGAATTCAGCAAAGTAGCAGGATATAAAATCAACACGCATAAATCAAAGGCATTCCTGTATATCAGCGACAAATCTTCTGAACTGGAAATGAGGAAAACCACCCCATTCACAATATCCTCAAAAAAAATAAAATACTTGGGAATCAACCTAACAAAAGAGGTAAAAGATTTATACAATGAAAACTACAGAACCCTGAAGAGAGAAATAGAAGAAGATCTTAGAAGATGGAAAAATATACCCTGTTCATGGATAGGCAGAACTAACATCATCAAAATGGCAATATTACCAAAAGTTCTCTATAGGTTCAATGTAATGCCAATCAAAATCCCAACGGCACTTCTTGTAGACATAGATAAAGCAATCACGAAATTAATATGGAAAAATAAAAGACCCAGAATAGCAAAAGCAATTCTAACCAGGAAGCGTGAATCAGGAGATACAGAGATACCAGATTTCAAACTGTACTACAGAGCAATAGTAACAAAAACAGCATGGTACTGGTACCAAAACAGGCAGGTGGACCAATGGTACAGAATAGAGGACACAGAAACCAATCCACAAAATTACAACTATCTTATATTCGATAAATGTTGAGAGCCACAGCCGAAGGGGCCCCAGCAAACTTATAGAAGCTATAAATTTTCATAAAAAGTTCCATGTCAATGCTAATACTTTACAAAAGCGTTTTAAAATAACTAAGGAACAAGCTAGACAAATAATAAAACAATGTCAAAATTGTGTGACCTTTTTACCACAAGTTAATCTTGGAGTCAATCCTAGAGGATTGATACCTAACCATATTTGGCAGATGGACGTCACACACTTGCCAGAATTTGGAAAATTAAAATATTTGCATGTTACAGTTGATACTTCTTCTGGATTTTTGATGGGCTCCCTTCATGCCGGAGAAAAAACTAAAGATGTTATAGCTCATTGCTTACAAAATTTTGCCACTGTGGGCGTTCCAAAACAGTTAAAAACAGATAATGCCCCTGTTATACTTCTACCTCTTTTAAACAATTTTGCTCAACATTTGGCATTACTCATATAACAGGAATCCCATACAATCCACAGGGACAAGGCATAGTTGAAAGAGCTCATCAAACTATTAAAATGTACTTATTAAAGCAAAAAGAAGGAATTGGGAAGGGGTATATATTCCCCAAAGATAAACTTAAAATAACCCTTTTTACTCTAAACTTTTTAAATTTGGATTCATCAGGACTTAGTGCTGCGGAAAGGCATATGTGTCCAAAAAATGTACATAAGCCCAAGGTACTTTGGAAGGATATTCTAACAGGACAATGGAAAGGTCCTGACCCAGTAATTGTCTGGAGTCGGGGGTCTGTTTGTGTGTTTCCACAGGGAGAACAGCAGCCGATTTGGATTCCAGAAAGATTAACTAAAGCGATTTCTACAGACCAAAAAGAAGATGATTTGGCTCAAATCCATAACAACTGATATCCAAAACTCCAGTTTGGCTATTCTTACATCTGCAACAGAACCAGGATGCTTTTTTCAATATCTATTTTATTATTGCCCTTTGCCATATCATGAAGTTCTATTTTGTTTTTTGAGCTCATACAGACCTAGGTTAATGTTTTGCTGATCAGTTCTATTTTTTGACTATAGAGTTTTTAAACATTGCAATGGAGATTTCACCTGTAAAAAGTTATAAGGCCTTTACTATAATGTTATGTGTTGTATGTATTATATTATGTGTGCACACTTGTGTTTTGTGTTATATGTTTGAATGTACGTATGTCCATATATCATATATGATGAGCGCTCATGATAAAATGGATCCAAATATTTTTTTTTTCACGTGATTTATATGGTTTAATTTAAATTGGGTAAACAACTGTTGAGGATTGTTTTAATATGTAAACAAAAAAGAAGGTTAACAGATCTGTTTGTTTACTTTCACCTTTCCTTTTCATTATATTTAATAATTCTCTTAAAGATAATGTAAATTGTTAAGAAAATTGTTTTCTTTTAGTGCCTTCTGTAATGTTACATAATTTTTTCTTTAGCCATTACTGCCAGAATTCCTATCTTCATCCCAGTGCTGGTGAAGTCAAAGATAAAACCAATCTACAGCTTCTACAATAGCCATCACTGAACTGCTTGCAGAACTTGCCTGGACACATTGTGAGCTCACCTGTATGCATTGTGAACTATCTGTTGGTGCAGCGACTTGTGGTAGTGTTGGGGTATTTTTGCTGATGATGTCATTGGTGGTACAATTTTTCCAAAAGGAGCCGTCAATTGGCTTGGTGTATCTTCCTCCCTTCTGCTTGTCATGATCGTCCAGCTAAAATTTGGGGGCCAACAGAGGTGAGGCAAAGAACCTCACCCCGCCGCTGGTACAAAGACCTCTCCACAGGTGTGGCTGTATACTGGACCGGTAGTCAGTGACGGGTAAGATCCAATTGCAATGGTACCAACCTAAGGACCATATGTACTATTGGACAACCTAAGGCAGGCACGGTCCCTAAGCCACATGCTTGTTGTTTAAACAGAGAGGGGAGATGTTGAGAGCCACAGCCGAAGGGGCCCCAGCAAACTTCCAGCTGCCAGCAAACTTCCAGCTGCCGGCTGATGATTGGCTCACAGCGGCCCCAGCAACATCTAGCTGATTGGCTCCTCTGCGGTGATGCTCATTGGGCTGTTTCCCTGCCCTTTCAGACCATGGAGCTGCTCATTGGGGGACTTTTTTGGCTCCGCCCACGTGACCCAGCCAATCGGCCTCAAGAGCAGGAGGATTGTGGGAGGTGGAGAGAAGCTTGTGTGGGAGAGAGAGGCTTGTGGAAAGCCGGTGGTGGCAGTTGGGCTCTGAGGGTTTTTCCTGAGAGGCTGTTTTGTTTGGCGTGTGTGGTTCTAAAAATAAAGTTAGTTTCTTTTGACAAGTGGCTCCTGATTGTGCCCAGCCAGACTGCGGCACACAAGCAAGTTACTACCTCAGATTAGAAAAAGACATGTAAATTAGCTCATGCTCCATAGGTCACTTCAGGGCATGTTCAAGCAATGATGTATGTTAACTAGCACCATTCTAAAAAAAAATGTGGTCCTGAATCTGTATGTTTGTATCAATACCAAACTCTCATATAAGCAGGACTAACAAGTATGATACACTGCACAGAATGATCAATTAATAAATGATAATGAATTATTCACAAAAAGTTATAACATAACCATGTGTTAATCATTAATACAGAAGAAATATGCATAAATAAAGTTATCTCTTTTAGTCAATACCTATATTCCCAGATAATTAAAAATTCCTACTTTAAAGAAATACAATCATTCTAGAATTAGATTATTCTTTCATTATAACTCTCAATATTATTTCCTAGCTCAAAACTATGGGATTTAAAAAAAAGGAAGGCCCACACACTATTGAGGTATCTTTTTTAAGAAAGCTAAGCTGGGAATGTGAATGTAATATCAATTCCATGAGAATTTTATGGCAGGAAAGAAGTATCTAAATGAAACACTGTAAGATTATAAGGAAGCCCCTTCTAATCACAAAATGAAAGCTACATGATACAAATAAACTTATGTCATTTTAGTGAAGAAGGTATGTCAAAAGTAATTAACCTCTACTTTCCCCCATAACTAGAATGTCAAGTTGCAAGATAAAAATGATCGCTAAATTTTATAAATTACACAACTGCATCTGTGAGCAAGTTATTCTTTTTCCTTTATAGAATAATTTTTAATAATGAATTGTAATTACTAAAATATTTAAAAACAAATTTTGATATAGATTAACAAAGCAAACCAAAATTAATTTTGTATGTGGTAATATTACTATATTAATCAAACCAAAAAAAAAAGTACCTAATAGAAAAACCAAAGTTAAGCTTAGGTAACACATTTGTTCCTCCAGTTTAACTATAAATTTGTTTTAGTTTCTAATAAATGGTGTCTTTATCTCCATCAATATCTGTCTGAGTTCCCTCTACTATCCCCTGCTTTAGATGAAAAAGAAATTAAAGTTCAAGGATAAACATAAGCTTCCATTATTTTGTGACCATTATCCAAATACATACTTATCAGAGAATCACAAAGACAGATAAAACTAGCATTTACAACCACCTACCTTAATGATTTATTTTCTTAAGAAAGCACAGTTTCACATAACACTGTCAAATTGCTTTTGCTACAGTAATGTGTACATGCCTACCTACATATCTTTATAACATATTAGTATTCTGACATAAATTTCAATTCAATTCCTTATAAATACAACTGGTATTATAGAAAGATAGCCTTCTAAAGTATCATGTGAAAGCAACTGTTCATAATACAAAAGAAAAAAGAAAATACATAGCAACCAACCAGCTTTAACTTATTTTTCTGAATGATATCTTTGTTTTCCTTCTGGTATAGTTCCATTTTCTTTTTGGTGTTTTCCAAATCCACATTGTTGGTCAAGTTGAAAACTGAATCAGAAAGAAAACAATGTCATGAAGTGCAGTTTTAATGTAAATCTTGAGTAGATAATAAAAAACAAATATTCACCATAGTGACTTTTTAATTCATTGAGTTATCATTTCTTTATAGCACTATTTATATCCTGATCCTATTATAGAGACTATCTCTAGTTAGCAACTATAAGGGTTTTTTGTTGTTGTTGTTTGCTTGATTCGTTTCATTTTGTTTGTTTGTTTATTTTGGTACCAGGAACTGAACCTAGGGGCACTTTACCACTGATCTACATCCGTAGCCCTTTTTGAGATATGGTTTAAGTTCATTAAATTGCTGATTCTGGCTTTGAACTTTCAATCCTCCTCCCAAGTTTCTGGGATTACAGCCATGTACCACCATGCCTGGTGGCTACTATGTTTTCTTAGCCAAATATACAGACTGTCAGACTACAGCACAAAATATCTAAATATAAGAATCAGTCCAAAAAACCAAAGTAAATATTTGCTATAATCACATTAGATTTTATAAAAATAAAATCTAATGTGATTATAAACTTAAAAGCATATAAAGGATTGCCATTTTTTAAAAAATAAAAAAAGTAAGTCTAGGATCTATTATACTGATGAGATTAATACTGAAAAGAATCTGTGCCTCAAAATTTAGAAAAATTGCCCAAAGAAGTTTCAAAAATCATATATTTGTATAACTTATATCAAACAAAAAATCAGCTTTTATTCACTTTGCAATTGTCTCCAATATGGCTAGGCTCAAGTTTTAATTATTTCTCACGTAATCTTAATCTAGAGAGTATAAAACAGAAAGGAGTTGAAATTTAAAAGGGAAAGCAAAGGATAAAACTGGCACAAAACTTAGACTAAACACAAAAAACTATACCAAAAAAAAAAAAAAATCAAGAAATGGGCAAAAGAACTAAATAGACATTTCTCAAAAAAAAAAAAAGAGAGAGAGAGATACAAATGGCCAACAAATTATAAAACCATGTCCAACATCCCTAGCAATCAGGGAAATGCAAGTCAAAACTACACTCCAGTCAGAATGGCAATTATCAAGAACATATATAATAATAAAGCTGATGAGGATGTGGGAAGAAAGGTATACTCATACACTGTTGGTGGAACTGCAAATCAGTGCAAACACTTTGGAAAGCAGTATGGAGATTCTCAAAAGACTGCGAATAGAACCACCACATGGCTCAACTACCCCACTCCTTGATATTTACCAGCATACTCTAGTAATACAGCCACATCACTGTTTATAGCAGTGCAACTCACAATAGTCACATTATAGAACCAGCCAGGTGCACATCAACAGATAAAGGGATAAAGAAAATGAGGTATATATACACAAAGAAGTTTTATTCCACTATAAAGAATGAAATTATAGCATTTGCTGGTAAATGGATGGAACTGGAGAATATCATGCTAAATGAAATAAACCAGACTCAGAAAGTCAAGGGTCTAATATTTTCTCTCATATGTAGATGATAGGGCAAAATAAGGGTGAAGAAGGGAGAACAACACTACAAAAATGGGAGACCAGTGGAATGGACCAAATTATGCTGTGTCCATGTGTCAATGTACCACAGTGAATTCCACCTTTAGGTACCCCATAAAGTACTAACATATAAAACCAATAAACAGATGGGAGGGAAGGCCAGTGGAGCAGAGGAAAGGGGGACAGGGAGGGGAGGAAGAGAGAAGGTACCAGAGACTAAAATGGAACAAATTATGATTCTGTCAAAATGAACCCCATTATTACGTATAGCTATAGTGCACTAATAAAAACATTTTTAAGTTGAAGTATTTCCTTAAGAGAAGCCACTGATGCATGTTTAGACATTGCTAAATTTTAAGTGAGTTAGAACTATCTTTTTATAATTTCAACTCCAAATAATCTAAATTATAAATCTCATACTGCCTCCTTAATTTACACACACACAGTCAAAAAGTTACTATAATGCTCTAAACCAAAACAAACAAACCTGCCTTAGCACACATATGAACTTATATGAAGGGTACCATCCCAACATCCCACCCCTGAAAGAATCCATATCATTAAGACTATCCAGTTTCAAAATTCAATTCATACCTCCCTCAGCTTCCCCTGTAATCTTTCTCTACCCATTATAAGTGTGTCTACCCATTCTCCAATTTAATCACCATTGCTTCCTGCTTCTAATCCTACCAACAAGATGGAAAATTCTGCTCAATCCCCTTTGTTTCTATAGACTCTTTCTCATCTCACTCTTTCCTTGAAAGTCATACTGGAAGATCAATATAGAGTCATCTGTTTTGTTGAGTATGGTCATAAACAGACTCAAAAAGACCAATTTAATCCATAAAAATATAATTGCCACCTCAAAAAGCCCACTTATTTCAGAATACCAATTTATCATAATCATTGTTAAAAATCCAGGTTCATTTAGGTATGTAAACAATGGTATACTTATTTTTAATACATAACAATTTTTAAACCAGGCAGGAATTGAGAGATAATGAGCAATAATACCCACTAACCACTTCCCCAACATTTTAAACATGAAGTAGAAAAGAAAACAGTAATGGAGATAAGCCATGGAATCTAGCTAGTATTCAATGTGGGGCATTCCCCATTAATCACACCCCAGGTCCTGACACAAAATGATCAAAGAAGGAAGCTCCAAGAACTACCCTCTGCAAGGTACCATGATCTATTAAATAATATAGTGATTCCACTGTCTGTCGATCACTCACAAAAACTTCCCTTTACATATAATAGGCCATTCTCTGAGCCACGGATCTCCAGATCTCCATCGTACTCAACATCTACCAGATCCAACCAATGTAGCTTCCCTCTCATTTGTTCATTTGAAGGACTTCCTTTTCAAAGTTTTGCTTAAAGAACACACTTTATACAGCAAATATCCATGGACCATATATGACAAGCACTTGACCTAATCACCTCATTTAATCCTCCTAACAACCTTATAAGATATGTTCTGATGTTATTTACACTTTACAAATAAAGTTTAAAGATATTTTAAAAACAAACAACTTTACAGCCAGTTAATGTGGGAACCAGGATTTTAGTGTAGTCAGATTCCAAAACCTAAATTTTTATTTATAACACTTCTCTAAATGCAAACCATGACTAGTCCAGTTCAGCATTCCTCTGCATCTGTATCTCCATATTTCTGTATCTGTACTCAAACCATTCCCTCCATTCAAAGGGGACATTTTAGTATTAATCTCAATCTGAAACGACTATGAATATCCAGATTTGACTGACCTTTATATACCCAGCCTAGTCTCCAGCTATTCCTCAAATTCACTGTGCAGTTACTCTCTTTCCATACCCAAATTATTGGAATTAATAACAACACATTACCTAATTTCAGTCTGATGGCACATGTTCACATTCTACCTTGTATAATTGTTTTCAATGTATATTATCTTGTGTGACCTATTAGAATGTTCCTAGAGGGCAGATTCTAGCCCTGACTTACATTTACTACCACTCCTTCAATTTCTACTATATTCCAATTGGAATGGCAAATATCTAATTCAAAATAATAAAAGCTGGTAGTATGTGGGACAACAGAAACTCTCATTAATTACTGGTGATAATGTAAAATGATATTGCCACTCTGATAGGTTTTATTTATTTTTTTAATATTATTCTAGTTGTAGATGGACACGATGCCTTTAATTTATTTGTTTATTTTTATATGGTGCTGAGGATCAGACCCAGTGCCTCACAAGGGCTGGGCAAGCTCTATATCACTGAGCCACAACCCCAGCCCAGCAGGTTTTCTTTTTATAAACCTAAATAAATACAGATATCTCATACTAGATAAAGGTACCAAAAACATACATTGGAGAAAAGATAGCCTCTTCAACAGATTGGGAGAAATCTTTACCATGCACACATCAGACAGACCACTAATTTCCAAGATATATAAAAAACTCAAAAACAACACCTAAAAAAAACAACAAATAACCCAATCAATAATGGGCTAAGGAACTAAAACGACACTTCACAGAAGAGGATATACATTCCAATCAAAAACTATATGAAAAAATGTTCAACATCTCTAGCAACTAAAGAAACACAAAACTAAGATTTCATCTCATTCCAGTCAAAATTGCAATTATCAAGAATACAAACAACAGGGCTGGGGTTGTGGCTCAATGGTAAAGCACTTGCCTAGCATGTGTGGGGCATTGTGTTTGATTCTCAGCACTGCATATAAATAAATAAAATAAAATCCATTGACCACTAAAAAATATTTTTAAAAAAATACAAGCACAATAAATGTTGGCAAGGATGTGGGGTAAAGGGTACACACATACATTGCTAGTGGGGGTAAAAATTGATGCAACCACTCTGGAAAGCAGTATGAAGATTCCTTAGAAAACTTGGAACAAAACCACCATTTGACCCAGCTATCCCAGTCCTCAGTTTATACCCAAAGGACCTAAAATCAACATACTACAGTGACACAGCCACATCAATGTATATAGCAGCTCAATTCACAATAGCTAAACTATGGAACCAATCTCGATGCCTTTCAACAGGTAAATGGATAAAGAAAATGAGATGTATATACACAATGTAGTGTTACTCAGACTTAAAGATGAATAAAATTATGGCATTTACAAGTAAACAGATGAAGTTGAGGAATATCTTGCTAAGCAAAATAAGCCAAACCCCAAAAACCAAAGACCAAATGTTTTCTCTGATCAGTGAATGCTAATCCATAATGGGGGTGGGTGGGGAGAGAATGAAGCAACTTTGGATTGGGCAGAGGGGAGAGGAGGGGTATAAGGGTAGAGAGGATAGTGGAAAGAGATGAACATTATATTACCCTATATACATGTATGATTGAAGGAACAGTGTAAGTCTACATCATGTACAGCCAAAGAAATGAGAAGTTATGTTCCTTTGTGTACAATGAGTTGAAATGCATTCTGCTGTCATGGATGACTAATTAGAATTTTTTAAATTTTAAAAA